GGGGCGGGCGGGTGGGAGGGGGGCGGGGGTAGGGGAGGGGGGTGGGGGGTGGGAGGGGGGCGGGGGTGAGGGGGGTGGGTTGGGGGGGGAAGGGCGGGACGGAGACAGGTGTTTTAGAGAAAGGGGGTCGCGTCCCAAATTGTGAACCCCTCACAGGGATACGGCACGCGCCCCCCTTTCTCTAAAACGTTCTAAAACGCCCTCCCCCTCCCCCCCCCTACCGGCACCCGCCCCAGCCCCCCCCCCCCATCCCTCCAGCCTTCCCGCAAAGCCGAAAACACGAACATCAGTGGCCTTGTCACTTCTTCTGCCGCTTCGCCTTATTGCCTGTCAGAACGGGCCGGCTATCGAGACCCAACTTTGTTCACACACACACACAGAGCAGCCGAAGACATGAAGCTAGCATCACCCCACCTTCCTCAGTAGATTTCACCATGAAGTCATTGATGCTGCTTGGCCGTTTCGTCGCTGCTGCGTCCTCCTGAGACGGCGGCGGCGGAGGAGTCGGTTTCGGGCTACTCGCGGCTGGTGGGGATGGAGTCGGCGTAACCGGTGGCACTGTCGGAGTGGGAGCCGCTGGCTGGGATGGAATCGGCGCCACCGGTGGCTCTGTCGGAGCCGGAGCCTCTGGCTGGGATGGAGTCAACGTCACCGGTGGCTTTGTCGTCTCCTGTGTTGTCTCTTGCGTCTCAACAGGCACAGCCGAATCCTTGGCTTCAGCAGCTCCCTTTGCCGCGGCATCTGCCTCGGCCTGCTCCGCAACCTTTTGCACGGCGTCCGCATCAGCGAGTTTGGTGCACCAATCAACAAGCTCCACCTCTACGAAATGTGGCGGCTTGCCTTGCATGACAATCTCAAGGTAGCCCTCCCCGCACACCTGGCAGTGCTTCCGATCCGCACCGCACTTGCACGCTGGAACGCTCTTGGTCTTGATGCTCGGAGTCGCAACGGCGAACAGCGGAGGCTGTCCCTTAAGCAGAAGCTCAAGATACCCCTGTCCACAGGTCTCGCATGTCTCCTTCTCGAGCATGCAAGCACAGCACGCGAAGCGCCGGGGGCACGGACGGGTCTCAAGCTTCCGAACAATCATGTCCTGATCCATATTGGTGATCGCAGCATCCGTGCTCTTGCCAGTCTCTGACTCAGCCTCGGGGGCCGACTTCTTGGGGANNCCTCAGGCTTCAAAGCGGACGGTAATGTTGTAAGTATTATTCCCCTAGCTAGCGGATATGTGTTTGTTTATTCTCAATTCTTCGCGATGCAGATTGAAATGTAAGCAGGATCTCCACAAACAGGTTAGCTAAGGGTGCCAGCCCTGGCATCCACCAACTGATGTCGACAGACTCTCCATTGTGCTGACGTCATGACAATGACCCGCCCCTCCACCCCCCCCCCCCTCTCCCGCGCTCCTCGCAGACCGGCCTATGGCCATGTCCCGTGACAGAGTGCATCACAGTCGGAGTCGTGATGGTTCCATGACCCACGGCATAGTTAGTATCTACGAGATGTACTTGGTTAGATAATCAGTTCACATCATGTTAGGCACACAACAAACCAGGGTTGAGATTAATAGGCCTACCGTAGCACGTACCTGGTGTCATCGGGTTCTGAGAATGTCCGAACGGCTGGCGGCTGGCTACCATTTAATGTGAGCACGAGATATCGTCAACCGACGCTGTTAATGGTACCTAT